GGTGGGACCGACAATCTCCGCCTCCGCTAAATCACTGAGAGAGAGAGAGAGACGGGCTGAAGGAGTCAGAGCGGTCCCCGCTTTTCCGCCCCCTCCCCCAATTAAAACAAACCTCCAGCCCAAACCGAGCCCCTGCCAATGTTAAGCACAAAGGCTGCCTCCCGGGCACGGGGGAACACTGTGCTCTTTAACTGTTTCCTCGCTGAAACTGAGCTGAATCACTTCGCTGGACTCGTCCAAGCAACAGCCTTGGGAACCCACTGCTGTAGCTGCTGGCTCCTAGCACCGGGGGCTCGGAAAGGATGCGCGTCTGATTGCACCAGGCGACCCAGGAGCCATGAGCAGAGTGGGGAAAAAAATCTCATGCTGAAATATGCAGCTTTTGCTTTGTATTTTCCCCGGGTTTGGCCAGAATCATAACATGGTTCCAAGACATCAGTGACACTCCCTGTGTAAGAGTTTCAAAAATGCTGGATCCCTAAACAGTGACTGTTCCTGGGTGAAAATTTCCGTGGTCCATCTGGGACACACCTTGCTAATAACCTTAGTTTTCAAGACCAAAAATGCATTTACAAAAAGGATAGCATTTTCTGGCATTCCTATGTTTCTTAATACTGCTCTTCTGTCAAGGTAGTGGTACAAAAAAACTTGTGCAGGAAAAGTGGGAAGTTCTCTTACAGCTAATAATCTTTTCCCATGTTGAAAAAATACCAGGGTGTCAGAGGGACCAGCTTGTAGTGGAAAATTTCAAAATCCCTTCACGCTAGCAAGCTTATGAAATGTTGAGTCCCTTGTTAAATCATGTCAGGATCCTCATTTCATGGCAAGTTGCCATCTGGCCGTACCACAGAGGTTGTTTTCTAAGCCTATATGGGCTTCTTTTGAATAAAAAAGGCAGTCTTCCTAAATATGATAGAAAACCACGTGGTCCTAAAAGAATAAAAACAGACTGAAAAGAACAATAGAAAATGTGATGCTGGTGGCCTGCAGAATTAAAATATCTGTCACTAAATCATGTAAGAAATTGTTTTGAACTTCATGAGTTTTTCATAGTTAAAAGAATGTTTCTGTAGACATTATTTTAAATCATCTGGTAAGTCCTGAACAGGAAAAACCAGCATCTGGATCGACTGGAATAGCAATGCTTTGTTGCCTCTAGAAAGTCATCTCAGTTAAATGATGTGTCAAAACACAAGGTCTTTGAAGGAACATAAGTGTTGAGGCTGAGAATCACAAGAAGCCTGCTGTTTGCAAATCAGGTAGAAAAGTTTAATTCAAAATCCCAAGTTGCCCTGAGGTTGAATAAATGCTGATAAGCCACTATATTGGTAAAAGTCACTTTAAATTCTTTACAGTTCAGTCATAGACACGTAGTATTAATGATTTGCTTTGTCATTCAGAATCATCTGTATGATAACCTGTTCTCTAAACATCCTTAACACCCTCTTCCTTTCCTAGGATCATTTGACCTTTATGTCTAAACAACTAGAGTTGTTAAGAAAAATGAAATTCATATTTCTGATCTCATTCAAACACACATTTGTCCTTCCAAT